TCTAATACATTGAGGCATGTCGCGTACATGAGAGGCGGAGTAGGGTCGCTTTTCGAGGATCGCCGTAAAAATAGTCTGGGACTCACTGGGAGGCTATCTTTACGGCACGCCGTAAAAATAGCCTGGGAGGCTATCTTTACGGCTCGCCGTAAAAATAGCCACTGCGTTTATTCTTTATTTGCTGCTTTTGTTGTGACTTATAATCATTGCTGCTCTATTTTTATAATGGTTTGGATAGATCATATCTTGAACCTGACAAAGGCTAAATGTGTGTGATTTTTTTGCATTCATTTCATTCAGATATATATACATGTTGTAAAGTAAAGATAGAGGGACTACGGGTTAAAGAAGACATCATGAAATGAATGAGCAAGTCTAATGAAGTGATAGTATCGACATGATTTCTATTGAGATCAGAGAAACCTGTCAATGAAAAAATAATTTGCTTGAAAAAGTACGCACTTCACATTCCTAAACATGCTGTCTCACTGTCTCTGATAGTGTCAGTCTCAGAGTCTGTCAGTGTTCTAGTTGTAGCAGTCATTCATAGGACACGATAGACCATCCAATGGAATCAGGCACTCGTCAAATTATAGGCATGGAGTTATTGATGGTGTGATCTTGAAATTTGTTCATGAATTTTTCTTGTTTTTATGAAATAGTGTATACAGAATCTGTCTGAATTCACATCGAGATATTTGCGTTTAAAGTAGAACTAGTTTCAAAGGCAAAATTGACCAAAAAATGGCAGCTAAAGTTTGGTGACTTCAAAAGCTTAAATGTCCTTGGAAACTGCTAATTTACATTTACTGTGCCTTTGATCAAAGATTTTGTGTAAAGTCTATAGAGAAATAATGTTTTTAAATGGACATGATTAAAGGTGTTTGGCCAAAGAATACAAAAAATATTCAACAGATATTTCCTAATTGTTGAAAATTGTCGGTTTCTTCAATTTCATTTCTTTGATGAGCGCCTGATTTCAGCATGTTACTTCAAATATTATAAACAAACCAGGCTCAGTTTTAAAACATGTAAACAATGAATTAACATTTTAAATTCTATAAAAGGCTCAGCAGTATATTGACATTATATATCTTCAAGGCAAAACAAATTTTACTCACAAGATGTCAGGAGAGAGGATTACTCTGCTGTTGGTAGCTAGTGGTGTCTTTTCAAAGGAAAGGAGGAGCTTTGTAAATGAGAGTACTCTCAATTTTACTTGTTACTTAAGGACATTTGCAAAGCCATTTTAAAGAAAATCTAAGGTAAATAGAAAGTTTTCAAAATCATGCTTGTGAACCCCCCCATTTTAATTGTTTCATGTAAAAAGTAATGAAAAGACCCCCAAATAAATCTCAATTTTAATAACAGTGACTTGCTGTTTTGTCCTTCCCCTCCCTGTCTGAGACAAAGGTTGTGTCATGGACCATGGTGCACAGTTCAGAGTCTGAGAGTTAACACTATGTGTACTACTTCTAACCTGAACCTGAGTGCATATCATTTAGAAAAAAATGATACTGAAAATAAACATGCTATTGTCTGATGATTATCCTTTTTTTCTGTTAATATATAATTGACTCTTCGAAATATTTTCAATTCCTCAGCAAATTATATCAGGGGTACAGCTCCTGGTCAGACAGTGGTCGTCATGTCTAGTGATGTCCCCTTCTCCAAGGCCTTTTGGATCTCTGGCGCCGTCGCCATGGGTACAGGACTGGCTTACCTGTTGTATCAACACTATACCTTACTGCGGAAGCAACAAAATTTATCCATTCAGAACGCTATCCTCTCTGAAAAATTAATCAGGCTGGAAAGCGATGTGAGGCGTTTGAGAGAAACTCTTCTGGTAGCTTCTTCCTCCTCAGAGGATATTGAAGAGATTTTCGTGGATGCTTCAGATGTTGCAAGTGATGACAGGTGATTTATTATAGAAACCAAAGTGGTGATTTTTACAAGTTTTATAATTTCAAAGTGTGTTGTAAACCATTGTCTCTTTTCACTTCTGTCGATCTAACTAAGCACTGTTTCAGTATATTATCTCATAGCCAGAGCATAAGAATCATAGGGAGTTCAAAATCTGATGATAGAAATTTGTTGTAGTTACTTTCCTCCTTGCATCCTGCCGGGAGGGAGGGTGGAGGGGGAAGGTAAACCTCTGTCTGGGCTTGTGTTGTAGGGCCTGTCCCGCTTCACCTTTTCTTGTCACTTTCACAATACACCCACAGACACTCATGCATAATAATTAATATGTATCTGCGCACAGTTCATTCAGTATTCCCAGTTTGTGAAAGCTGGAAGTGGGTAGCTTTTGGGTGCTCTGTTGTGGTATGCTTCTACTTCTGCTTTATTGTTTTCATTGTCGTGGCCTGTTTATTTCCTCTGATGTTTGTGGTGAAGTGGTTGGGCTCTTTGCATTAGTCCACAGAAAACATGAATTCAATTATCACAGATGGAGAAAAGTCTGTTTTTAGAATGTACGTCTTGGCTTTCCACAGGGACGCTGTGTCCCTCTCTGCTCAAACTGACACTGACAGGTGGGGTCAAAGTAACGTGTGTGGATGGTTGGCGGGTGCTCTGGTGTGGTTTGCTCCTTCTTTCCTATCAAGCATTTATCCTCCTTATCTCTCCTCCTTTTTTGTGTATGTTACTCTCTTGTAACACATCTACTCTTCAACACTTATATATGACCTTATTGTGTTGCAAGTGAGGTAACATTCTTACTAAAACTGAAAAACAGGTAGGAGACATGAGTTTGAATATCACAGGGGAAAAAAGTCTATGTTAAGAAGTATCTCTTGTCTTTCCACAGGGACACTGTGTCCCACCCAGCCCATACTGGCACTGACAGGTATGGTCAAAGTAACGTGTGCCCTAGATGGTCTAAATTGTGTCAGTCAGACATTTACAATCAGTGATGATCTGTTTGAACGAAAAAATATAGATATTCTCATTCTGGTTTATCATATACAACGACTCATTAGAGCTGTGCCCATTCCACTTTACTATTCAAGGTTCATAATTTTTCTACTATTTACAGCTGTAAGAAGCATGGCAGAATCATTCGAATGCTGTGTGATTTTTATCTCAACTTTGTCAACCTGTTGTAAAATTACAGCAATTCTATATAAAAAATCGTTGAGGTAAATACAGAAACACTTTGTACTTGATGATTATGAGGCAGAGTGGTAAGCGGAGCCAACAAGAGTTGTAAAATAAGCTTCTTAGAAGTATCCATTATTATTCAATGTTCACTAGTAACACCATGATGACAAAGTGCACAGATGTCTTTTCAAGAAATTAACTGAAGGCAGACGCAATTAGCTCCCCATCCCCCTTTAGAAATTCTAAGTGTTGTATATAGTGATGTAATGTCATCTTATCGCATTACGTATGTGCCACCGTGTGCTCAGTGAATAGCTATGTGAATGTTGAATAGCAAATGTTGCCATATGCTAAATATCTATAAAGAAGAAAAAAATTCTCTCACAGTATTTGAATAGCCTGGATCGATAACAACAACAGCACTGGATCAATAACAGTGTATTTAATTAGCATGATTAGTGACTTCTCACTTCAAAGCATCGACGAAGTTTCAATTCTTCAAAATTGTACAGCACTACTCCTCGTGTCTATAAACTGCTCTGTAAACTGCTAAATTTTAGGAGTTTAGTGGATGTCACCTTTTAGGTATAGGCATTGACTTGGGAGAAATTAAATTTCCCTGTTTATCTTGCTCTCTCTCTCTCTCTCGCTCCTCTGTCTCTCTCTCTCTCTCTGTCTTTGTCTCTCTGTCTCTCTCTCTCTCTCTCACTCCTCTGTCTCTCTCTCTCTCTGTCTCTGTCTCTGTCTCTCTCTCTCTCTCTCTCTCTCTCTCTCTCTCTCTCTCTCTCTCTCTCTCTCTCCCTCCCTCCCTCCCTCCCTCCCTCCCTCCCTCCCTCCCTTTCCATTGTCCTGTAGATGAAGCCATTTACCACAAAATTCGTGTTAACCGGAAAGGATTTCAAATCCTTGTCAAGTTTGTTTTCCTTTTTAAAAAAAAAATGTGAATATCAAATTCTTTCAGGACTGTTACTAAAGTAGCCTCTGAAGAGGATGTTCAAGATGTCCTTGCAAGAGTGGAAAACAAAATGAATATTGGAGGCATTGAAAATTTTCGGACTTCGTATGAAACCATTTCCCTCTTGGCTGACAAGGTTTGAAGAATTTGTTTATTGTTTTGTATTGACTTTTGGGTTTCTAGTGAGTATCCAGAAACATTGACAAGTTGAAGAACTGGAGGAGAGAAAAAAAAAAGAGAAAGACAAAGCCTTGTGAGAGAAAAACTGCTAAGAGGAGGAGAAATATGGAGATGAGGCAGATTGAAATAGAAAGCGGATAGAGGAAATGTGTGTGAATGAAAGAGGATACGAATCTGTATATCACTTTTGATAGAGGACTTTTAAAACTTATTTAATGCACCCTATGTGAGTTGTATAGTTAAAATCTAAGAATTTTATATGCTAGGATGTATTTGTTGCAAGTTTTTGTAATAAATGTCAAAACAGTGGTAGAAATTGTAAGTAAATAAATTGCCCCCCCCCCCCCCCATATTTATATAAAAAACTTGGATTTTATTAACAGACTCATGAAAACTAATTATACAATAATTTTTGGTACTTCGTAGTAGTTTTTGGTTTTTCTTCTGCGGAGAGATGTGGTGAAATGTTTTTTTTAAAAACTACAATTATAGTATATATATATCGATAGTGTTATGCTTTAACCTTTTCACTGGAAGAAATAGGTCGACTCCTTTTTTTTTAATTCTAAAAAAATTGCTGAAATTGAAAGTCAGAACTTCAACAAAACCGGGAGCCAGCAGGCACTTTGAATAGCCTAGAAGTCTGTGGCTTCACTTTTTGGTCTTTCTCATCATTTAGATCAATGTTTTTGTTTTACTTGTACAAAAATTTTGAAGAAACTAGGCACCCCATGCATAACACCATCAATATGACGTGTACCTAGGCATTGATGGAAAAAAAAAGTTTTTAAAAATATATTTCTTAAAAAATTTTTTTTGACAATATTGAAGAATTGCATTTTTCCCCC